CACCCCTGAACTCCCAAACCACCTTTAAACTTTTCGTAAGGTAAAATTCCGCTGCCTTAGTCAAAGCTGGTGTTTATCTCCTGGAAAATTTCAGAAACCAGTCTGCTCCTGCTGTTGTCAGTGTATTTTTTTCTCTGATTAAAGTAGACACAGGACAAAATACTTGTGGTCTGTGTGTTTAAAGATCCCGCCCAGGCTTTCCGGGTCATTCCCAAGCTGCTGATGGCAGCCTGGATATCCTTCTGGAGCTTCTGGAGCCACTATAAATCCTCCTGCTGATGGAGAGGTATTTTATTGAGTTGTTTATTTCATTAGGAGAAATGATCATTGCATTTGCAACTATTATGCTTTTATAAGCCCCCACGTGTTTTGCACAAGAAAAACAAGCTTTGCAAAAGCTTTGATTCTGCCAGCCAGGGTTGGAGATCTCCTCTTGGGTAATCCGGCAATGTCGATAGGGCTTTTTTCACCAGATGCAAGCACTCTGAGCTTGACTCCCGAGCACGTATTGGCATTTGGCTCCTGAAGCAGCCGTGGGCAAGGCAGGCAGAGTCAAGGAGCCCATTAAAGTACGTGTGGTCTGCACAAGGGCTAATTCATTACCGAGAATAACTTTGAGCTGACACGGAAAGTCAGCGCTTCTTCTTGGCGTAGGAAAGCCAGCTAATTCTTCCAAGACCTTAGAGCATGTTATTTTTAGCTGAAAATAATCACGGGCTGTTAAACACAAAGAGAACCTGTGAGAAGCCCTGCGGCACTGCGAACGGCACCGGGAAGGTCTCGCTGCAGCGGTTTGTGCTCCGTACGTGCTGGCGGGGACGTACGGGGCTCCACGCCCGACCCCCATGTGGCCATTCCTATATGAACTGGATGTGTTTGCGTCAGCCAGGGACAAACGGTCTTTTCTAACTACCCCTGTTCAAGCGATTTGGAAACCAGCAAACAAACAGAGGTATATCTTTGAGACAGAAAGGAGACGTTAGGAGTCAGCAAAATTGCTGCAGTTTGCTCTCTGCTCTCCATGGAGATGGCCACCATGCCCGAATACAGCTCTGGTCTCTGAAGGGAGGAGGAGGGGACCTCTTCTAAGCCATTTTCTAAAGGTTATATGGGAGGTTTGTGGGAGAGCCCAGCAAGAGCTGAGGGCAGTGAGACCCACGGTGACAGAGCTGGTACTGAAGTCCTTGTACACGAACTGAAGGCAAAGCAGACCGACCCTGAAAAATGTGTGGTCATTGCCAGAAGAAAGATTACTGCTACGGGCCACTTCTTCCAAGGAGAGGAGCTAAGGCTGACCTGGGCGAGTCAGCTGAGGGGGAGCATCGTGACTGGGAGACCTGGCGGGAGTGCCTGCCAGAGAACCCAACCGTACCCCCAAATCAACAATTGCAGGACAAATTGCAGTTAAATAAAGAGATTTATCTCGAGGTGCTTTGATCTCTCCAACGGTAAAGAGCAGCTCTGGGGCACACAGGAGGGCAACCAGCATGATGGGAGCTGCATCCTCGGAGCACGGCTGTGGTCAGAGCATCAGGCGGAGAAGGATACAGGGACTGTCTCAGACAACGTCTGAGAACGGCTTCAAGTGGCAGCGAAAGGAAAGAATTGGCACGGTGAGCTCCCAATGCGGCCTCCTATCCAGGGCAAGGAAGAGATGCAGGGGTTTTTGTACCGAGTTTGGAAGGAAATTTTTGCAGTGGTGAGCCTGGCTGAATTACAGCACTGGGCTGCTCTCAGCCACGCTCCTGTTCTGTTCTCACGCTGCGAGATCGAGGCAAAGCTAGGCAGCTCGGGGCCAGCCTTACGGGGGCAAACCCACCTTCTCTCTCCTTGACTCGGGGAGAAGGAGAAGGGTTCAGCAAATTGGAGGCAGAATTCGGGCTGCTGGTGCTTTTGCATATAGTAGGTAGCAGGCCTTACGTGGAGAAAAGTCTTTTTAATCAGCATCTTTTACGTTATTGCAATTAACTCTGTTACGATAATACAGTCTTACTGATTGAAGACCCTAAGCTTCCCTCTAATAGTCCTGAATTACTGCTAGGATAATGAGATTTCCATTTCTAAACGTCCTGTGCGTGCCATCCAAATCACATCTATATTCATGCACATACCGAATACGAATTATTCTCGCAACATTGACTTCAAACATCCTTCCTGCATCAAAAATGCCACGCCACACGCAGTTAAAAACAGCTTTCTCGTCTTTCAGCGTTCAGCTCAGTAGTATTATTGCCAGCCCTGTGTTACTTCTGCTGTATATTTAAGCGGGTGTCGAAGGACGATCGCAACACTTGGTGTGCGAGGCTGAGTGCTGAGGGACGTGGGACAGCGGGTGATGCCACATGAGCTATTGGCTGGCGCTTGTTCGTCGTGCCTAAGGTGCCCTTGTTGCACCAAGGGTGCACGTACAGCAGTGGTATCACGCACCGTGACGGTGAAGCACTGAAATCAAATTACTGCTGCTGAGATAATTGCTCCTAGCCCAAGATGGAGGCACGACTGGAGGGTGCCACGACACCAAAGTCACCTCAAAAGTGAGTGCAGCAAAGAAAACGATGGCCGGCAGGCCGGGCAGCGAAGCCGCCGCACTCGTAGTTTGATGTAGCCACGTGGCAGTCCCTGGCTCCAGATCTGCGCCCCAGCCAGCGGTGCGGCATCGATGGGCGCAGTCCACCTAACGAGGGGCGTTTAAGCCACTCACAGCTTGTTCTAGGACGGGGCTGGTGTGTTGCCCTGAGCTTTAGATGACCTCTCACGATGCCACCTGCATGATCTGCATTTCTATCCAAAAACTCAGCGCAGCCTCTCACTTGCTGGCTGCCAGGCTACCTGGCTCTCGCAGCACCTTTCAGGAGCAAGCCCATGCCTTGGCTGACCCAAGGGGCTTCAGATTTAATTTGTTTCCAGCTGCCTCATTCCACATCAAGAGCGAAATTTTTTTGCTATGATTTATGATGCATTAAATGTTTAAAAGATGGTAGCTGATATTAATGAAATTGAAGTTATACATTACCATAAAATTGGATCTGCACTAATGCAATTTCAAGGCAACGTAATACGCTGCGATCTCCGATACCAGCGAGAGGCCGAACACGTTACATATCCTCTTCTACGCTCTTCACAAGATTAGTCCGATTTGCAGAACAAACACATTCAGCCCTCAGCCCTTGTGCCGTGACCCGTGAATAATACTGCTAATAGGATTGACACATCTGACCGGCGCTCTGGGACAAAACTCCTGGTGAACTTGATGGGAGCCACTCCACTTCCCACGTTCCTCCCGTAAAACCTCTGCCATCGTCCCCTCCGAAAGGCACCCACAGTCCAACCGGGGGGCCCGATGCGCAGTAATATCTGAACCACCCACAGGACAAATGTGCTTCGTGGTTGCCTTTTCTTTCTCTAGCGGAGGCGTAAGCAACATTTTTTTTACGCTGATAAATTCTGTAGCCACCCCGGAGGGGTTAGGCTCTCTCCCACGCCTGGCAGCAGCAAGGCGGTTACATGATTCTGAGTTTTACACGATTTATACGATTTCCCAGTCCTCTTCAAGTAACGCATGTGAGCTGCACTTGGATTTCGGTTGTAAATCCTCAAGTTACCAAAATTGGCCATCAAAATGAGAACCTTCACATCAGCTTCTCTCCTCGCTGCCTCGCCGCTCCCTTGCCTAAAGGAGCGTCAGGTTATTGTCTCTTGAGGCTGGTACCATAAAAATTATTAGCGCTGAGGCTGGAATAACATTTGATGCTCATCCTCACGTGGCAAACCCCGTGCCCTATAGATTTCTCTGACTTTATATATTTATTAAGCTGGTAGGAGGACCTCCGTCTGTTTTATGAGAGGATCTGGTGTTTCCCTGAATGGTATAGGGGGAAGTGGGCAGAGATTTATTCTGTTTAAATCGTGTCATTGATTTCCCTGGCCCGCGGCATGACAGCAGCGGTGCTGGGAAGGGAGCTCTGGAGAGCTCCAGTCCAGAGCAAGACTATTGCCCACATTCCGTTGGGACAACCATCGTATCTTTATTATTGCTATTAGAGGAAAGGGAGGCTTGATTTGAAGACTTTATTCTGACTCGAGGAATAGAGCTCGCGCGGTGACACAGGACACGAAGTACTAAGCAGCTTCTGGCAGTGAGTTGAACATTAAAATAACCAGTAACTACCAAACCCACTCAGTACCGGCTCTTGCTGACGTTGGTCCTGTCATCACAGGACCTGCACTCATTAGGAACAGGAATTAGTTTTTAAAACACAGATCTGTTTCTTCCTTTAGACTGGCTTGAAAGTCAAGTGCTGCCTCTACAGGGAAAGCTGAGAAAATCCAGTCTGAGAAGGAAACCTGTGCCCTCCCTGGGTGCAAAATCCCCAAACCGTTTGGAAATGGCAATTCCCCGAATCGTGCGAGGTGAAGGATAAGTACAGGCTGTGGCCAGAAAAAGCCCCCAGGGTGGGATCCTGGGACGGCGCAGGAGGGAGAGCTGTTGCTACATGACTGCAGCATCTCCGGGCTCAGCAGTGAACCACAGAGCTGTGCTGGCACATCTGACCCCATGGTGGGACATCACTTTGGAGGTGACTATCTCCAGGCCTTGCTGGAGAGCGCAGTGCTCCGTGCTGGCCGGGGACTACTCCTAGCAGGTGGATCCCGGGAATTACTGAACGACTGTGGTAAGGGTGGACTTCACTGCGTCTGCATCTGTTAAGCACCCAGCCCCCATTCCTCTTCCTCCAACCTAACTGTGCACCGCTTTGCCCCGAGAAATCTGCCTCTTCCCAGCCTCCGCTGTGCTGCACATTCAGCCTTGGGCCCTTGCAAAGCCATTTCCTCCTGTTCTCCCATGATTTTAGCACGCTGCTCTGAGGACAAACCTGCTGGCAAAGTGAACACAGGGAGCATCCACAAGGTAATCTCCTCTTTTGGAAGCTGGGAGCTCATCGGGACCCCCCGAGTGACTGCAAAGCCACGGCTGTGCGACTGCCCCTGTGAAACCCCACCTCGGCGCTGCCCATTTCGCAGAGCAAGGTTTTCTTCTTCTTCTAGCTCCTGCCCAGAGCCCGGCTGAGGTAACGGAGATTTAACCGTTCTGTAATTAACACCCCTTAGGCTGCCACAGAGCCCCGTGCTGCCGGAGCTGCCCCAGCGGGAGGAGGATGCGGCCGTGCCGGCTGGGAGCGCGTCGGCTCGGGTCCAGGCTCGGCTGAGCCCCGCTAGCGTGTGAGTGCGCGTGCGGAAAACCTCAACTTGCCCTTTTGGGCATAAGCGTAGGTTTCCCAAGGAAATGGGCACATGCAGCACGGCAATGACTCCCATCCATTTTTATGTTTATTTATTTACAGTTAATGTTAGGGGTCCTGGAAAAAAAAGCGTTTTGAATGAGCAGTGGAGGCGTTGTGGGAAAGATCAAGGGCTGCGAGGTGCAGTGTTGGTAACATTTTCAAAGCAAATCAGATGAGACGCCCCCGCAGCCTGCAAGGGCGCAGGGACAGCAGCCCGCTGTCTCCTTGCGTGGCTCGCCAGCCGCCTGCACGGGCGGGTGGCACCGGGCCCTCCATCAGCAGCGCTCCTCCTTTGCCGCCCCGCCGGAGGGGCGGGGGGAGGACGCCAACGGCGGCGCTCGCTCCTGGGCAGAGGCGGCAGCACAGAGCCTCGGAGCCACAGATGATGGAGAAAGGGGGGGGAGGGATATGAAAAGCCTGGGGGTGCCATTCTCAGGAAGCGTGCTGCTGCCTGAAACGAAAATACCTTTTTTCTCTAAGAAGAGCAGCAAACCCTGTTAAGTGGGGATGGAAATAGGGAGGAGAATAACCTCCTGCGGCAGGGGGGTCCCCTCGGGATGCCAGCGAGAAGCCTGTCGCTGGCTGAAGGGGCCGGGAGCGGGGATATCTGCGGTGGGAGACGTGGTGCCATCGGCTCCGTCCCACTCCCAGCCCCATGGCTCCTCGTTGTCTCCCACCCGCATCCGCCGGGATGCTCCGGGCAAGGCAGCGACAGCCCCGCGCCGAGCACCCAGGCCCCTGGAAACCCCGCCGCCCTCTCTCGGTGACTGCTGGCTTCTTGTCTCCTTCGAATCCTCTTTTCTTCCTTCTTTCACTGCCTGTCGCGCCTCTTCTTCATTTTTCTGTCTTCTATTTAAGTGGGGAAATGGCTGCTATTGCCCTGCCTCTGTTAAGCACTTCTCCTTTTATTTCAGATTTTGACGCATTTTCCCCCAAAGGCACATGCTGTTTCAGTCAGGAGCAATCAGCCGTTAAAACCAGATTAATTAAGGAAATGAGTTTACATATTTTTCTAATGGTCTGAAACGAACAGGAGGAAAACTCTATGATCCTGCACCTGTAACGCCGTTTGTCTGCAACAGATCCCTGCTCGGCACCGCTGATCTGAGAAGACGGCGCCATCTCAACGTTAATCACTTGTTGCGTAATAAATGGCGGAACTGGAATCTCCTGCACCCTCTGGAACTGGGTATTTTGGTCTCTTTTGCCGTTTACATTGCAGGTAGGAGCCCTGCTCTGCAGTTTCTTACAACCATGGCGTGCGAACACGGTGGGCCCTTTGCTCGACGCCCTTCGCGGTGCCTTTCGTTCTTACTTTCCGCCCTGCTGCTGCTACCGCTGTCCGAACCTCCGCTGGCCACCCCCGGGGGACAGGGACAGAGCCCCGCGGGACTGCCACGTGCTGCCCAGATTTGGAGCCGCGACCGCTCCTGCCGTTCCTACTTCTGAGGCTTTTAAAACCGTCACGGTCGGTGCAACCCCATCTAACTGCAGGGTTAGCGTGAAGTCACTGGATAAATGATGTCAGATGGTCTCAAAATAATCCCAAAATGATACCATGAAGGCGTGGAGTTGATTTAACGTTAAATGGTATCCTGGGTAAAGCCACTTAATAAATGACCCAACCTATGTAAATTCTGCAGCCTACAGAAACGGTGCCACCCAGTGTGATAAATACCCTCAGTGAGGAAATGACGTCATGTGGCACCAAGTGATGTCATAAATGAAGCGACTGGGTAAACGGTCACTGCTGTACTGGAAGATGCACCTATGGTGAGTGCAGCAAGGTGAAATTTTGTGTTAGTTTGACATTAGCTCACCAGTAAAGTATTGGTGTGCTAATAGTAAATGTATTCCATCTAAATAAAAATCGCTCTTCGGATTGAGTATCACTCATTTGTTAATTATCGATCAGTGCCTAATGATCATTAACGCTCGTGACCTGTTAGCGTTCTGCTGTTGATTCATTCCCGTATATGCCAGTTTTGACAAACTGATTTACTCAAAGCGCCAGCAGGAGAGCCCCCCCGCGGCTGCGCGAGGGCACCTCCGTCCCGCAGGGAGCCCCCCGAAATGAGGACGTTACCCGGTGCGGCACCTCTCTTGGCGCCTGGGCCCCGGCCGTAGGCTGCCAGGAGGGGCTGCCCGCAGAGGACACGCGGCTCGGCAGGGGTAAGGCCCGGCAGCAGCCCGGGACAGCTATTGCTAAGCTGCTCGCACAGCCCTTGGCCATTCCCTCGCAAGAGGGAGGTCAGGCTTCCCGGGAATCAATTTGCACAGCCTTCAGGCTCGTATTATTTGCGGAAAATGCCCATACTAGGGGAACAACGCCGGGAAGGGGGAATTTATTGTACCATTACCCTGGGGGAAGTGTCAGCGACATTAATCCTATTATAGCATTGGTGGGACGGGGGCGCAAGCAATGGTGGTGAGGGAGAAAGCAGCGCTCTGCCGAAAAGCAGGAACCCCCGTTAGGAACGTCCCTGTCCCGACAGCAGCGCACACGGGGAGCAAACGGAATGATACGGTGTGGGGGGATTGTCAAGCCCCCCGCTGGCTCCACCGCCCCAGGGGGCGCACCGGCACTCCCGACAGGCCTTGCCGGCCCTGGCCCGGCTGGGCGGGTGCTCGGCACTTGCTGCAGCGGTGAAGCCTGGCATTGCTTCCAGCACGTCCCCGCCGCCTTCGCCATCAGCTTTCCCGCTTCCCCAGGAGAAATGAGGCAGGGAGCGGTGAGCTGGCCCAGTTCCCTGTTCCTAACCCCCTCCCGATGCAGCCACGCTCACGCCAGCCAGCCTTGCAAAGCCTTGGTAAGAACCAGATTTTAAGCCTGGTCAACTTGGGCAAAACCAAGAACCGAGCAGCCGATATTAAATCTACTCACAAATAAATCCCTCGTCGGGGATGAGGGAATTGAAGCTGTTGATGCCTGGGCTGTCCTCAGTGACGAACCAAAGAAAGATGCCGCGACTGAATTAAAAACCAGGTGGTGGCACCAAGAGCGAGAGGGGGAAAGGACCTGCCTGAAGGGGGCTGGAGGGGAAAGGCATTTGCAAGCTGCACCAGCGACACGTGGGGTTTGGCCGCTCTGAAAACTCCCTGCTTACGGCAGTATTTTGCCAGCTCCGAGGGTTTACACGGTGCTTTCTTGCTCTGTGGGGGAAGATCAAGGAGTTCTGGCCCAGCGCTGGAGGACTCTGGTCCTGTCCATTCACCTGGTGAAAACCTCCTCTGCTTGCGTGATGGCCTCAGCACTGGGTGACCCAGCACAGCACCTGCATTTCTCACTCATTTCCATGATGACTTCCAGGAGATGTCAAGCAAAGAGTGGTAAAACAGTGGCCAATGCACCGCTCAGACTCTGGTTCCCTACTCAGATGAAAAAGATGCATTTGTATTTAGCCCACGAGCGCTTGCGCACAGACAGCCGGGTAAAAAAATGGATCGCAAATTATTTGTCTGGGAGAAAAGCCAAGTGAATTCTCGTGCTGGATTCCCCCGGCACCCTTGTCCTAAGCCAGCCTCCTCCAGCTGCGTTTCCCCTCCTAGCTGCAAAGTGGTTTGCACAGAGCGAAAACTGTTGCTTGGATCCTGAGGTCAAACAACACTCGTCCCCTCTTCATCAGCTCTGATGAAAGAGTCTAAAGGGCTGCAGGTCATAGCAGATCTCAAAACGTACCTTTCACACTGGCTCTAAATCTGCGTTTTCGTACCCAGAGGATTTTCCCTCTGCATTGTAAGAAGCTGCAGTGTTCCGCAGTTCTTTACAGAGGACCGGGACACCCTTGTGTTTCACCTGTCCCAGTGCACAAAGTACTATTTATCCAAGCTTGATTTTGATGTTGCTTGGGGAATGTCTGCAATCACTCATTGATTAAGACAAGTCACAAGGTTTTTTTTTTTAATTTCTGTATGTTTACGTGCCGAGATCAGCAAAGACTGTTTCTTGCTTGCTATTGCCCTGACACATGGGCACATCCTGCCCTTCCCCTGCCTGCCTCCACCCTCCTCCCGCCTGGGAGAGGGGCAGCGGGATGCGGTGCGGCTCTATCTCCCGCCTGCTGGCTGGCAGCCACCGCCGGGAGGCAACGAATGCCTGGAAAGCGGCAAGTTTTAATCAGACCTGGCCCATCTTCCCAGGCGGGGGAACAGGAATCCAGGCTCAGCGCAGGCAGGTATCCCTGCGGCCTCCGTGGGCACTGCAGAACGCTTCGGACCTCCTCGGATAGAAAAAAAGCCAACTTTTATTGTAGTAACGAGGCACAATTTGTGAAGCGTGAGGTTTGAAATCGGATGCGAGGCGTTAAGCGTGCACGACGCTGAACTCCTTGTGCCTAGCGGAGATGACGTCCAGAGCTCACTCCCGAGCTAAACCGCTCTGTGATTTCATTGCCACCGAGGTTTCACCACCGGCAGCTGACCTCGAGCCCTCGGTGCCACAGGGC